ATATATTATTCTCCGTGATAAATTATTTTGTAAGAAGTTGATATGATAAAAATTGATGAAGTAATATCCACTTATAATATCTTAAGTTATATAAGTAATAATAATATATAGAATCATGTTCTTCAGAAAGTTCTTTCTCTATTGTTTGATAAACTGTTTACTAAATTAACAATGAATTATAACATTTTATAATATAAATCTTAGAAGGAAATTCTTTCTTTTATAGCTAGCAATAGGAAACTTAGAGGACAAGTTTGCAATGTGTGCCTTGTTACAAAGCACTTTGAAAAACTGTGAAATACGTAGTACGATATTAATCGATCATGGAAGCCTATTGGTAGAGCGTTCGCTTTGTGAACGGGAGGCCCGGTTTCGATTCTCGCTCGGGGCGCCGCGTCATACCTAAGACGTAAACAAATGTAGTGATTGTTCCTTCGCCAAGCTCTCGGCACTAAAAGTGAAAGTAACGAGTCTTTCGGATATGACCTTAAAAACGTAGGTCCGGTGTCACGGTAGGCGCTGACACGATAAAAAACCCTCACCGCTCAATGGCCCTGAGTGCCGAATATAGGTCTAAATTTGAAGCCCTTCAACGGCATATGGTCAGTCTTCCTGTTATAGCGTAAAAAATTCAGAGGGACATTAAACAATATTCAATCAATCAATCATAGGACGATATTTTACTAAATTTTTTGATATTTTTATTACATGAATATCTTAAAAAAACAATTGCATCAGTAAACTTTACTGTTATTAATATCCCATTCCAGGTGACATGTTCACTGGTCACAATGAATGAATTTTACCACTGAAGACCAGGACAACGATTGGAGTGGTGGAAACTGTGCTGTAACATATCACGGAGCCTGGTGGTACAAGGCCTGTCACAGCTCAAACCTTAACGGGCAGTACGTCAATTCTAATGTGACAAGTGCTAAACACCCGGTATGGTATAGCTGGAAAAAGAGACACGAAGCGCTGAAAAAGACTAGGATGATGATAAGAAATATTAACTAGATACATGTATATTTTTGAATCATCACTAAAAAGCATGTCGACAGACTAAGTTATGTTTATTGAGTCACATGATACACCGGAGCCTATGTGTGGCAAAAAAACGAGAGGTGTAATAATATTAAGACATATAGGTCCATAATACAGTATTTTACATATTCAAAAATCTTTGAATGTTTTCTTTCATACATGTAAATATAAATAAAAAAAGTGTAAATTTAAGCGGGTTATGTATTCATTCTGAAACAGCCACAACATCAATTCGCATACTAACAACCAATTGCAAAGAAATTATTTATTGTTTAATTACATTTTGAATTCTGTGTATAAATTAATGTTATAGAATAAAACCTGTAGTAATTTCTAATGCAAGTAACGTATTTCCCCCAAAATTTGTTAATTTTGTTTACATTTGTAAATGTGAAGCATTTTTGAATTAAGATATATATTATTCTCCGTGATCAATTATTTTGTAAGAAGTAATATCCAGTTATGATATCTTAAGTTATATAAGTAATAATAATATATAGAATCATGTTCTTCAGCTCTTTCTCTATTGTTTAATAAAAACTGATACTAAATTTACAATGAATTATAACATTTTATAATATAAATCTTAGAAGGCAATTATTTCTTTTATAGCTAGCAATAGGAAACTTAGAGGACAAGTTTGCAATGTGTGCCTTGTTACAACGCACTTTGAAAAACTGCACTTCTAATTTTTTTTTTTTTCAAAGTGCGTTAAATTTTGGACCAAGTCAACGCAGTTTGAAAAAAAATATTTTATATCGACCATATTAACGCACTTTGAAAAAATGTGTATGTAAATCTTAGGTATGAAAAATAATTGAACCCGTTTGAAAACTTTTCGGTGATAAGTTCACTTCAGGATGTGAAAGTAAGCGATTTTGATTTTTCCATACTTTGAAATTTTTTTCTCTTAAATGCTTTACTGTACTTAATTTTTTCCCGTTTGCATGCATTTTATGTCAACTAAAATTTATTGAAAGTTTTCAACGTCATACCAGTCAGACAAAATCAAATATTTGGGTGTACTGTAGGCATGGGTAGGGGAAATTAGGCACACACATGTTTAGCAGAGATATACATAATATAGACATTGAAAATTGAGGCTTACCTTGGGGGAAGGGGTTCACTTTCAATTTGCTACCGACGGCTATGTACGATGTATTAAAAAAGAGAGGTGACTGAGAGACCCTCTTCTCGTCTTTTCCTTGCTCTCAGAGAGGTTAAATGAATAATGTATTCATTAAATTAAAAAGTTCTTCTAAAGATATAATCATTACAAATTGATTCTCTCAATTTCTAAAATCTAAGTCTAATTTTTTTAATTTTATGCATATATTTTTTCAAAGTGCGTTAAATGTCCCCATGGTAAAAATGTTTATGTACACTCTTAACGCACTTTAACAAAAACATTCAAAGTGCGTTGCGTGTGATTTAAATTTAACGCACTTTGAACTTTTTTTCAGAAATTGACCAACACTTGAAATGTGTTTCAATTCAATGAAAAATGAGAAGATAGCGCAAAGTAATCAAGCCCTAAAGTACATAGAAACATTACAAAGTGGGAGCTGAGTAAACACTGGACTCTAAAAGAGATAAGAAAAACTGACCTGAAAAGTAGTTAAGCATTTAATTTACAGGAAATCCTAATAGAAAATCTGACAGGGTATATATATATATATATATATATATATATATATATATATATATATATATATATATATATATATATATATATATATATATATATATATATATATTTAGATAGATGGAATGGTTTTTTTTACGCTGTCAGTGACAAATTATTATAATTAAATTTCTCCACAATATCATAATTTTGATCAATACAAACCACGATATTCACGTGTCACTAAGACTGCTATCATGTGACGTATTTTAAGAATTTGTAAATAAACTTCTAACGCGCAGTAAGAATAAAATGTTGTTGATTCTACATTCAAAGGTATCTATATAGTCTGATAAATTTAGTCAATGGGTTAGTAATCAATAAATCTAGAGTGAAATTATACCTTCTAAAATATTTTAATGAAGATTACTGTAATTGATAATGTATGTATAGATTACACAATACAAATATCAATGCGTTATAAGCACCCGCGTGGGACACAATTAGATCGTTTGCTCTTGAGTCGCGGAGTAAGGACTTGTTCATAATGTCGCCCGCGTGGCCCAGTGGTTAGAACGTTTTCTCTAGAGTCGCTTGGTGAGGACTTGATCAAAAAGTCGCCCGCGTGGAGCATTGGATAGATCGTTTTCTCTGGAGTTGGGGGGTAAGGATTATTATGTCGCGCATTAATATGCCAAGAGCAAGAAATTTAGAACAGTTAACGTAATTTTCTTGTGGCTAACATTTTTACATTGTTAGAATAAAACAAAAGTAAAGAAGGCTCATCTCTTACTGAGAGTTTTCCCAGTTTCCAAAAATAAAATCATTTGAAATGAATTTATCTGCATGGGACACAGGCACCTGACGTTACTTATTTTCTTTTAATAAAAAATATACCCCTACCTAATAATAAACGTTCATTATAAATTAGGGATATATTTTCTTTTTACTAAAGAAAATAAGTAACGTCAGGTGCCTGTGACATGGTATAAATATTCTTTTTAAATAAACAAGCGAGAGTTTATGATTTAGGCTTCCTTGAGGCTTGCTTTATATGATAAGCAACTCATGAGATCAGTAACTAAATAAGTTCATTGGAAAATAGAGTCGGAATGTACTCTTCAGTTGAGACGCAATATCCATTGTTAGAGGAAAAGTCTATATATCAACTATCAAGTCATCATTTCAGCAGATCTGGAAAAACAACACATGAACCGGTATTTGTACTTTTTAGACGATCAACGCCCAGTGCTACTCTGTATATAAGCATTCCCATTATTCATCAATTGCCACTGCGAAGATGGGGATCCTACAGGTACTATGCTTAATATTCTCCTTGCACGTAATACTCTATTTGCCTTGAAACCTTAATCTAAAAGCAAAGATTATGAAAAAAATGCTTTGTTGCTTAAAACAGTAACTGGTTCCATGTACTATACTACGGCACACTCTGACTCAGGAGAGTTTGGTGCGCTTTTCTATGGTACAAAAATATAAAGTTTAGTGATGAATGCTACAAACAGCGAAAACGATAGAAGAAACGTATTAATTAAAGGTTAAAAAAGGCTTACAGTATTTAGAGATATAAATCCGTATAATGAAGGAGGTCTATGTCAAACTTGGTCAGTAAATGACAATAAAACATAAATTTGGAGAAAATTGAAACCTTGAATGGATGTCAAATAGGCACCATTAAAGGCAACCTCAGAACATAGACAAATCTTGAAGATTGTGGAAAATAAAAGTTTGGCCATCAAAAAACAATGACCGTGTAATAACTACAAAACTTGGGGTTCTCAAAGATGAAGATACATTACAAAAGCAGTGTAGACATTTGCTAAAAGGATGAAACGGAAAATACTAAGTTTATTAAAATAAAAAAAGATATTTGTGGAAGTAGTTGAGAGAGAGGGAGATCATTTGAAGATATTGAGGATATACAACAGCTTCGTTTCGCAATTCCCAAACCATGTTTAATGCGAACTAATTGTGAGAAATGTTCTTTTAATTTATAAACAAGAATTCATGATACAGACCTGGTCTCTTTAAAAGACTACAAACATGATTTCAATTAGGAACTGAATTATTGAACTAGTTTGACTCGGTTATTACGTAAGTATTAGTGATTTAAGATCCAGGTTAAAATGCTTTCATAAAAAGTAGAAACTGAAAACATAACACAAACCCCCTTTAAATTAACTTAATTTCCAACAAATGCCTCACTAATGTACCCCGTCTTTGATATGTGTTAATTCAATCTGTACATAATTAACAGAGATTGAACCTTTCATCTTTTTGGTAAAAACACACTTATCTCAATGCGTCAATCATCGCTTAGATAACTTACGCCCAGTTCTACACAATATAAAACCTAGAAAATTCCCTCTTATTCACAAAAACCTATGGCAAAGATGGAGTGTCAACGAATACTAAGTTTAATACTGTCTATGTACGTGTGCGGGACCTTTGGGCAATTACCATTACCTGAAAAAGCCTCTATCGATAATAGTTTGTTACCCAGTACTGTGTCAGGTAGAGCGTCCAACGTCCTACGTGACATTCTGAATCAGGAAAGTCTGGTCCGCTTCTCTATGGTTCAAAAAATACAAAGTCTGGTGATGGATGCAATAGACAGCAAAAACGATAAGCAACTTATAAAGACGAAGCTAAGTGAAGTGACGAAGGATTTACAGGATATGGAGACTAGAAACCGAATAATGGAGGAAGAAAACGCCAAACTTAGAGAGGAATTAAAGATGGTATATGGGACGGTGAATGACAATAGTAACTTGACAAAGGAAGAAATTCAAAATCTGGATCAGAGAATGAACAATAAGACTTCAGCTCTCCACGATGAAAATCTTAAACAAGCCTTGAAAAATTCGGATTTTGAAAAACAGTTTGATTTATTAAATAAGACCATAAAGCAAATGGAAAGAAATGTTCGAAAAGATATAGAGACGTTGAAGTCATCGGACATAAGCACAATGGAGAGAATAGACACTCTGAATAAATCCAGTGTAATAGAAGTAAACAAGAATTTCCAAAAAATAAAAGAACTTGATGATAGCTTTCGAAATAAAAGTCTGGTTCTGGAAAACACTGACCGAGGACTTAGTCAAGGAATGGAGGCTCTCCAAGATCAAATGAATGAAATGAACGCGACATTACAGATCAGTGGCGAGGAATTACTCGCCAGACAGATTAAGAAGATAGAGGACAAGTTCGAGAGTTTTGCAGTGTCTGTAAATGAAACGATCAACAACAATCGGCGGGTTCTGAATGAATTGAACCAGTCCTTGTCAGAAGGTACAGAATATCATTGTAAATTCTATCTATTTTTAATATTAAGTTTGGAGCTAGTTTATGGAAGTTAATTAATTTAAACATTGAAGAATTATCCTTTTTATGAAAATATAAGATTTCAAATAAAGACTGATCAAACCAACCCCTCCCCAATATTTTCATTTTATCGTGTAATATTGTAAATTTTTATAACTGAATCCAAACTTTACAATACTCATTTTAAATATATAAAATATTTTCTTAAAATCGGTATAAATTCACAGAAAATTCGGATATCTTAAACTTCTTCACGCATTCAATTTCTTTATCATTTAAGTTCCATTTTTGCTTGAATATTTAAAATAAGAAGATCATATACTGTGAAATCACAAATTTTCAATTAAATATTTACTTCTTGTTGTTTTTCGAGGCATAAAGTTACTCACCGTTTCATATCCTCCAAGAAATGTCAGAATCACGTTCTAGTATATCTTACTACCTCGAATTTAAATCAATAAGCCCCCCCCCCCTCACCACCACGACCAATAAACCACGAAAACTGACCGCGGTAAAATAAAAATAATAATGAATATATTCCCCATAATCGAGTGGCAATGACTACATAATAATTCTTGAGCAAAATTTTGAATTCATCGCAGGTTTTGTCAGTTAGCAGAAGATATTAGACAACAAACAATTAATTAACAAATTAATCAATGAGTGATCGATTACTAGTGGAGTCTAAATTGTTAACATGAATACAAGTAAATAAATAATCTTTAAAATCCAAACACATTTTATTTTGCAGCGCTTTCAATGAGTTGTGGTAGTTGTTGGGAAATTTTACGGAAATACCCGTCTTATAAGGGAAGAAATGGTGTATACAGAATATTCGTAGGCTCTAAAGTAAAGTCTGTTTACTGTGACATGAGCACTGATGGAGGAGGGTGGACGGTGAGTGTGAGCCTCAGTAGTAAGGTATGTTTACTGTGACATGAGTACTGATGGAGCAGGGTGGACGGTGAGTGTGAGCCTCAAGGTCTGTTTACTGTGACATGGTCTGTTTACTAAGGTCTGTTTACATGAGTACTGATGGAGGAGGGTGGACGGTGAGTGTGAGACTCAGTAGTAAGGTCTGTTTACTGTGACATGAGTACTGATGGAGGAGGGTGGACGGTGAGTGTAAGTCCCAGTAGTAAGGTCTGTTTACTGTGACATGAGTACTGATGGAGGAGGTGGACAGTGAGTGTGAAGTCCGAAGTACGGTCTGTTGACTGTGGCATGAGTACAGATGGAGGAAGGTGGACAGTGAGTGCAAGCCTCAGTAGTAAGGTCTGTTTACTGTGGCATGAGTACTATTGGAGGAAGGCGGATGGTGAGTGTGAGTCTCAGTAGGAATTTCTGTTTACTGTGACAGGAGTTCTGATTGAGGAGGGTGGACGGTGAGTGTGAGCCTCAGTAGGATTCTGTTTACTGTGACATGAATACTGATGTTCTGATTGAGGAGGGTGGCCGGTGAGTGTAAGCCTCTGTAGTAAGGTCTGTTTACTGTGACAGGAGTACTGATTGAGGAGGGTGGACGGTGAGTATGAGCCTCAGTAGTATAGTCTGTTTACTGTGACATGATTAAAGATGGCGGAGGGTGGACGTTGAGCGTGAGACTCAGTAGTAAGGTCTGTTTACTGTGACATGAGTACAGATGGAGGAGGGCGGACGGTGAGAGTGAGCCTCAGTAGTAAGGTCTGTTTACTGTGACATGAGTACAGATAGAGGAGGGTGGATGGTGAGTGTGAGCCTCAGTAGTAACTGGTCTGTTGGTGAGTGTGAGCCTCAGTAGTAAGGTCTGTTTACAGATTGAGGAGGGTGGACGGTGAGTATGAGCCTCAGTAGTAAGGTCTGTTTACTGTGACATGAGTACTGATGGAGGAGGGTGGACGGTGAGTGTGAGTCTCAGTAGTAAGGTCTGTTTACTGTGGTGGACGGTGAGTACAACTTAAGCTTGTTATAAAGTGACAAAGAAGTCTACTCCGTGTCCTTAGAAAATTAAGTTACTTAGTGCTTTAACATGTTTTCTTTTACGAAACATAGAATCTAATTGTGTTTTTCAAATAAAATTTACGCTTCACGTCTTAAAATACGTTCGTTTTAAAACATTCAAAAGGAATTAAAAATCATTTAATCTGTAAAAGGCTATACAAAGAAGACAAGACGGTTCTACAGATTTTTACAGGACGTGGTCAGAATATAAACAAGGATTTGGGGATCCCTCTAAAAACTACTGGATCGGTAAGTTTAGTTTATGCAACAATAATATTATAACGTGTCTATCTATATGTAGTGTCAGAATAAACACAAGAATCTGGGGATCTGTCTACAAACTACATTTTTTATAAGTATTTAAATATTAGTATAATTAAGATGCCTATCAAAATGTAGCGTCGGAATTCAAGGATTTGGAATTTAACATATTTTTAAAATATTTCTATAGGAAATGACGCAATGTATGAGTTGACAAAAAACAATGATCAGGAACTCCGGGTTGAGCTACAAAGATTTAATGGTGACAAAGCATACGCTTAGTACTCCACATTTTATGTCGGGGACGAGGACACTAAATACAAACTCACTGTGTCCGAGTTCTCAGGAACTGCAGGTAGGTCCGTTTGTAAATTTTCGTACGAACCTAATTAAATTTAAGTGATAATGGATGCTATTTTAAACCATTTTTTCCCCCAAGAAAGACAGGGATGAGCATGAATTTATATATTCGATATTACTCCAGCGTGCTAGATGTTCACGGCGAGATACTTTTAAATTGGCGAGGTATATAAGGAGCGTAGGGACTGAGGCTCTTACTTGTAGGAGTAACCTGTATAGGCGGACCGACTTATAGGCGAGTTTAGACGGTATATAAGAAACGTAGGGACGTTAACCGAGGCTCTACTTGTAGGAGTACAGTCGATATATGTCAGTGAACTTGAAATTAAAGAAGCCATAATTTCTACAACATCATTTTAATATAAAGATTTTCCCAAAATTCCGTAGACAAACATAGTTTTTAGCTCACCTGAGCCGAATGCTCAAGTGAGCTTTTCTGATCACATTGTGTCCGTCCGTCGTCCGTCCGTCCGTCTGTCCGTCCGTAAACTTTTCACATTTTCGACTTCTTCTCAAGAACCACTGTGCCAATTTTGACCAAACTTGGTACAAAGCATCCTTGAGTGAAGGGAAATTTAAATTGTTAAAATGAAGGGCCAAATCCCTTAACAAGGGGAGATAATCAAGAAAAGACAAAAATAGGGTGGGTTCATTAAAAAATCTTCTTCTCAAGAACCACTGGGCCAGAAAAGCTGAAACTTATGTGGAAGCATCCTGGGGTGGTGTAGATTCTAAATTGTACAAATCATGACCCCCGGGGGTTGGGCGGGGCCACAATCGGGAATCAAAGTTTTACATAGAAATATACAGGAAAAATCTTTAAAAATCTTCTTCTCAAGAACCACTGTGCCAGAAAGGCTGAAACATATATGGAAGCATCCTGGGGTAGTGTAGATTCTAAATTGTACAAATCATGACCCCTGGTGGTTGGGCGGGGACACAATGGGGAATCAAAGTTTTACATAGAAATATATAGGAAAAATCTTTAAAAATCTTCATCTCAAGAACCACTGTGCCAGAAAAGCTGAAACTTATGTGGAAGCATCCTGGGGTGGTGTAGATTCTAAATTGTTCAAATCATTACCACCAGGGGTAGGGCAGGGCCACAATGGGGAATCCAAGTTTTATGTGGATCTAGGAAAAATCTTTAAAATCTTTTTCTCAAGAACCACTGTTTCATAAAACTCGAAGCTTATGTGGAAGCATCCTGGGGTAATGTTGATTGCTAAATTGTTCAAATCATGACCCGGGGGGGGGGGGGGTTAGGGCGGGGCAACAATGGGGAATCAAAGTTTTACATAGAAATATATTTGGACAATCTTTGAAAAGCTGAAACTTATGTGGAAGCATTCCTGGGGTAGTGTAGATTTCAAATTGTCTAAATTATGATCAGTGGGGTAGGGTTGGGTCACAATATGTATTACAAGGGGCAAATCTGGTAAAAAACGGGATTGCATAAAAAGCTTCTCAGGTGAGTAATGTTGACCATCAGCATGTTTTAGAAACCCGGTGACATAAACTAATGAAACTTTTACATAGGTTAAAAAATATATATATATAAAAAATCTATGAGTGACTACACAGATTAACCCCATTTAAATAAAATATTCATTGTAATAAGGCAATCATTACAAAAAATGTCATTAAAAATTGATAGATATTAAATAACTTACAAAAAGTATTTAGAATTCAGTATTTTGGGAAAAGAAATGAAAATTCTTCATATTCTATTATCAACTACCTTTTTTCAAAAGTATGGTTAATATGCTTTAACTAATATGAATTTTATAACGTTCTATATCCATCGGCTTGAAATCTGACATGTTGAAAAAATGGCGGCTACGTTGACACAGGTGGTGCATTAGAGTGTGATCAAATATGTTGATCCCTTAATTCTCTCCTACAGGAATACATTGGGCATTATTGTTAGGTACAAATGAAAATGTTTTCTGGTCCTTTAAGGACAGATGATACAAAGATTTTTTTCTTTGGAGGAGACTTAATATCATGTCAACAGTTTAGAAAATGGAGAACTCTTAGAATTTCTTCTCCCTAAGAACTGGAAAATGAAGCAGACTTGGAAAATATTAGTACTATTTCATTAAAATTACAAATATGGACAAAACGCACTCAGCAAAGGTTTACAGATGAAAACAAATTTTTGAATATGTTAGCCTGCAGGCATGTTCATGAAACTTCCTTAAGATCAGTCCTAAGATTATTCCTAAGATATTACTTAGGGAAAAGTTGGGAATATCCTAAGATCAACTAAGGATATATCATAAGATATATCGGGACAGTAACTTAGGAACATCTTAAGTTAGGACATCCTAACTTAAAATGAACACTTGTTTCTTTATAGACAAAAATTTAATTTTGGAGACATTTATAGCCCCCCCCCCCCCTCCAGAAAAATACATTTAAAAAGGAAATCAATTTACATGTAAATGTGTCCTCATTATGTTTTAATGTTAGCATTTTATCATTGCTTGATACAAGACCTGACCTACGATGTGTGATACATAAGAAAAATAATGTTTATAATACACATTTGTATGTTACAAATTAAAGTCATTTAGAAGTTGTTCAATAGACAGGAAAATCACGAATGCGGTTTGGATAATTGTTCTACTTTAATTAATATATGGATAATATTAGATTATCAATACTCTGTTACAGGTGACAGTTTGACTTTGTTTCAGAATTTTTTGATACGATCTCTTTGCTAGAATGTATAATATATGATAAAAATAATGTATACGTGGTATAATACATATTTGTACGAAACAAATTAAAGTCATCTAGAAGTTGTTCAATAGACAATATTGTTCTACTTTAATTGATATCTGGATAATATAAAGTTATCAATTCTCTGTTACAGGTGACAGTTTGACTTATAACAACGGATCTAGATTTACTACGAACAACCAGGACAACGACAAATTTAATCCTAACGACATCAGGATTTTCGAAAACTGTGCTAAAGTATATCGCGGAGGCTGGTGGTACAGAGACTGTGCCGCCTTCGCAAACCTGAATGGAGAGTACGGAGGGTCTTCAGTGTATGGTAGTCATTACATGATATGGTATCACTGGAAAGGATATAAAGCATTATATCAGACTGTGATGATGATCAGACACAACAACTAGAATTAAACTAATGTATTATGAAAAAAAATTTAAATAATCAGTTTCATAATGATTATAATTAAAACAGTATAAGCAATATTTTAGTATAATTTACTTATCTCACTAAATGATGTAGATTGGTGCAACGGACAGCTACTATCTGTTTCTTTTAATAGAAATTTGTAAAATTATCAGTTCTTTTTTGAGCAATTATTTAAGGAATGAAGCTTACTTCAACTTTTTTTTGCGATATAACATAACTTGGGGCAGTTTACGCTTTATGAACCGCGAAGCGGTTTGTAAAAATGGGTAAACTGTACCAAGTTATGTTATATCGTATAATATAGTTCGAAATAAACTTCAGTCCTCATAATTCAAGTTCAGTGTAGACAATGAGACAATTTTTCCTCCAGAAAGAGGCTTAAAATTGAGTATTATTTTAAAAGTAATATCAAGCGGGGTTATACGTTTTTGACGTTACTCATTGTGACGTAGGCAAGTTATGTTATACAAAATATTATATGTTCCTCTGAATGATTCAATCAATGAAATTGCTTGATAGAAGTGAAATTAAATTATTAATAAATGTTGAACATATAAGCAGGTTTATTAAATAGAATGTTTATAAAAACACAAAATAATATAAACCATTAGGCATATCTACGTTCAATTTTCATGCATGTAGAATGTACCCCAGATCATAGAATTAAATGCATATATTACAAGGTAATCAAAATTTTCAGTATCTCTACACATTTCCACGAAATGATAAAATGTAAATGTATATGATTTATACATATACACAAAGTATGTAGCACTTGTATGACAAATTAACATTGAATTTATAATGAATTATGTCAAAGGACAAGTTTTTAGTCAAATGATACATGGCGGAACCCCTGTCACATCTTAGTTTGAATGGAAGAGTTGCAGAGTCGTTTTATTTACACTGGTTTGTTTAAAGAATCAGGGAAAAGGACATTAACAATGAATTTAGAAAAAAAAGAATTGATATTCAGGTTTTATTTACTCTATGTTCTTCTACGCCCTATAACTATAGTCCTACCGGACACGTTATTACAGGTGACGTAAATATAATTAATATTACGACCTTAGATCACTTATTTTAAAAGGTCCTAAATATGGGGAACCCTAATCCTTCAACTGGCGTCGGAATTTCATAAACATTAAGAATTCTGTTGAAAATTACGCAAGACGATGGGCCAGAGATGAAAATGAAGACGTTGACACCTTCTTAGAATGGATTAGATGTATCAGATCCATGTTAAAGTCGCGTATTAAAAGATTGAGGGGCAGTGTCAAAAAAAATCATTCTGTATACAATAACCCATCTGTGAAAAAAGAATAAGATAGATTACATAATCAGTACGTACCGTTTGCTGCCGACAAAGCAGGTAACAACATTGTAAGGCTCATTATATAAATTTTATTTTAGAAGAACTTTAAGATTTTATTCTACAAGAGGTAAACCTACTTTAACTCATTTATAGGACTCCGAAACTTCACAAAATCCTTACAAAAGTATGTATCTATTCAAGAAGTGGTGTGAATCAGATGTGGATGCTCATCAATCAGAAATGAGAAATCACAAAGATTTACCAAACTCAACAGCTTAAAAACTTACGAAATTTCAATTTTATGTACAAGCATTCCCAAAGATAAATTAAAGTCCAGGCTTTTTGATATCGTTGACAGCTGCTTTTTTAATAAAATTGGAACTCGTAAATTTAGTTACCTGGTCATTGGTCGGTTGCAAAATTATTTTGTTAAAACACATTCTGATTGCACACAAGTACCCTGAAGTTGACATCAAGAGAGATGCTTGAGTTTCTGATTGACAATTTCTGTGTGGGTTTTTGAGACCAGGTATTCCAACAATCTATTGAAGTTCCATGGGTACAAATAATTGCGCTTCGTTATCAGCGGACTTATTTTTATATTCATATGAAGCTGAATTTGTCAAAATCTTATGCGTGAAAAGAAGAAAACACTTGCTGTGGCCTTCAACTCGACATTTAGATATATCGACGACCTATTGTACATTAAGAATGGTTAATTCCATTCCTACGTCGATACGATATATCCTGGTGAGCCTGAGATATACCACAGAGTCTGATAATTCTGTTTCATACTTCGATTTTTACTTGAAAAAGACGTTAATGGTAATTCAATTGTAATTTAACAACCAAGCTATATGATAGAGGTGATGACTTTAAGTTTTCTATCGTCAACTTATTCAGCAATATACATTCATCACCTGCATTCGGAGTCTATATATCTCAGTTGATTCGATACCCAAGAGCATGCTCTACGTATGACAGTTTCTAAAACGAGGTAAATTATTAACAAGCAAGTTGATGAAGCAAAAATATCAACAGTCTCGTTTAAAATCAACATTTCGTAAATTTTATGGTCGCTACAATGACCTTGTCAGCAAATACAATTTACCATTGAGACAAATGTTGACTGACGTGTTTTCAGACTTATTGTTAGTCCATTATTTATACACTGAATTGACGACGGATTTTTCCGTTATTTTCCGAGCATGACAATGAGCACACGGCGGGTGTGACCGACTAACAGGGGATGCTCACTCGTCCATGGCACCTGATTCCACCTCTGATGTTTTAGAAGTCCCTATTTGCTCTGCTCTTATTTTGTATTGTTTTATGGACTTTGTTTTTGAATACTGTTCGTTATCTCCATATCCTTCTTACATTGTTGATGGTTGTGGATAATATCTTTTTGTTATCAATATTTGATTTCATTAGTTTGTCTTATAACAATGGAAGAGTATTTGGCTCAGGAGGAGAGCAGGATAATGAGGTGATGTTAACTGTTATATAAAGTGATGTTGACTGTTATATAAAACGATGTTGACTGTTATTTAAAATGATGTTGAATGTTAAATAAAGTGATGTTGACTGTTATATAAAATGAGGTTGACTGTTATATAAAATGCCACAGAACCTGGTGGACTGTCACACATTAAACCTTAAGAGTGAAAACAGTCTGCTGACTGGTTACAAATACCCAACATGGTTTCAATGTTATAGTAAAAAAATAATAAAGCGCTACACAATGTCATGATGATGAAAGGACACAAAATTAAGACTCCTGGGGCCGATATCTCAAAAAGGTTTACGAGCGTAGGCTAAGTCCGGACTAAATCAGCACTGAAACCCGAGGACTAAGTTGAGTTTCTCAAAAATTCAGAGACTTATATAAGTCAAGAATAAATTTATGCTGAAATCTACGTCAGCCCATGAGTAGGAGTAAGTTTTTAGTCTGTACACAACTAGGTTAAAGTGGCAGGTGTTTTGATCACCAAAAGTTAAAAGATTAGAATAATCATTTTATAGGAATACGATATAAAACCTATTCATATACATAAATGATATACAAAAATCGTGATATATACAATTATATGACGTAGATTAAAGTCCAGCGAGGATGCAGACTTTTTTCGAATAAAAGGTGACGAATTAGAAATTAGAAATCTATGAATTTAAAAATATGAAATTGGGTAAGAATGTAAGAAGTATCAGAATTTGAAAAATCCAAGGCATATATAGAATGGGAAATGGGTTGCAATCCTCCTGGTTTTTGTTCTGTCATAGTGTCCGGTGTAAAGACGAATAATGACCCCCATCGAATAATGACCGGGGGTCATTTTTCAATGACAAAAAATGACCCCCACCCGTAGAAAAAAAAATATTTTTGTAGAAAAGGAGTCCTAGGTGTCATTATTTTATATGTTAGTCCCAAAGATAAATTAAAGTCCAGGCTTTTTGATATCGTTGACAGCTGCTTTTTTAATAAAATTGGAACTCGTAAATTTAGTTACCTGGTCATTGGTCGGTTGCAAAATTATTTTGTTAAAACACATTCTGATTGCACACAAGTACCCTGAAGTTGACATCAAAGAGATGCTTGAGTTTCTGATTGACAATTTCTGTGTGGTTTTTGGAGACCAGGTATTCCAACAATCTATTGAAGTTCCATGGGTACCAATTGCGCTTTGTTATCAGCGGACTTATTTTTATATTCATGTGAAGCTGAATTTGTGCAAAATCTTATGCTAAAAGAAGAAAACACTTGCTGTGGCCTTCAACTCGACATTTAGATATATCGACGACCTATTGTACATTAAGAATGGTTAATTCCATTCCTACGTCGATACGATATATCCTGGTGAGCCTGAGATATACCACAGAGTCTGATAATTCTGTTCATACTTCGATTTTTACTTGAAAAAGACGTTAATGGTAATTCAATTGTAATTTAACAACCAAGCTATATGATAGAGGTGATGACTTTAAGTTTTCTATCGTCAACTTATTCAGCAATATACATTCATCACCTGCATTCGGAGTCTAATATATCTCAGTTGATTCGATACCCAAGAGCATGCTCTACGTATGACAGTTTCTAAAACGAGGTAAATTATTAACAAACAAGTTAATGAATCAAAAATATCAACAGTCTCGTTTAAAATCAACATTTCGTAAATTTTATGGTCGCTACAATGACCTTGTCAGCAAATACAATTTACCATTGAGACAAATGTTGACTGACGTGTTTTCAGACTTATTGTTAGTCCATTATTTATACACTGAATTGACGACGGATTTTTCCGTTATTTTCCGAGCATGACAATGAGCACACGGCGGGTGTGACCGACTAACAGGGGATGCTCACTCGTCCATGGCACCTGATTCCACCTCTGATGTTTTAGAAGTCCCTATTTGCTCTGCTCTTATTTTGTATTGTTTTATGGACTTTGTTTTTGAATACTGTTCGTTATCTCCATATCCTTCTTACATTGTTGATGGTTGTGGATAATATCTTTTTGTTATCAATATTTGATTTCATTAGTTTGTCTTATAACAATGGAAGAGTATTTGGCTCAGGAGGAGAGCAGGATAATGAGGTGATGTTAACTGTTATATAAAGTGATGTTGACTGTTATATAAAACGATGTTGATTGGAACTCGTAAATTTACTTATCATATCTTTGGCTATTTGAAAAATTATATTCGTTAAAAACATTCTGATTGTACACACAAGTATTCAGAAGTTACATCAAGAAGATACTTGACTTTCCAATTAACAATAATAATGTGGTTTTTGGACACCAAGTCTTCAAACAATCTATTGGAATTCCCATGGGTAC